ACCCACCTTCTGAAGTCTGATTCTGTCATTTCATCACACTCATTCTCCATCCAACCTTGTTCCCTTGCTGGTGAAGAGTTGTGATCCCTTGTAGGAGGAGAGGTGTTCTGGTTTTGGCTGTTTTCATCCTTTTTGCGCTGGTTTCTTCCCATCTTTATGGATTTATCCACCTGTCGTCTTTGTAGTTGCTGACTTTCAGATTGGGTCTCTGAGTGGACGTTCTGTTTGTTGATGATGAAGTTATTTCTGTTTCTTAGTTTTCCTTCTAACAGTCTGGCCCCTCTGCTGTAGGACTGCTAAGGTTCACTCCAGGCCCTGCTTGCCTGGGGATCGCCTGCAGCGGTTGCAGAACTGTAAGGGTTGCTACCAGTTTCTTCTTCTGCTATCTTTGTCCCAGAAGGATGCCTGCCAAATGTCAGTCTGATCTCTCCTTTATGAGGTAACTCTTTGGATATACAGGGGTCAGAGAGCTGCTTGAGGAGACAGTCTGTCTTTTACGGGAGCTCAAGTGCTGAGCTGCGAGCTCCGTTGTTCATTCAGAGCTGCTGGGCAGGTACATTTACGTCTGCTGCAGCAGAACTCATAAACCGCTTTTTGTTCCCAAGTGCTCTGTCCCAGGGAGTTAGGGCTTTATTTATGAGTTTCCGTTATACTGCTGCCTTTTTTTTTTTTTCTTTGCAGGGCTGCCCTGCCCATCAAGGATGCAACCTAGTCAGTGTCTGCCCAAAGAGGCTTTGCTGAGCTGCTGTGGGCTCCACCTAGCAGCCCTGTGAACTTCCCTGCAGTATTGTTTATATGGGCATAGTTAGCACTACCTCGGCAATGGTGGTCGCCTCCGTATTGGCAGCCTCTCTCTGTAATGCCAGGTTGCCTCGGCAACAGCGGGTCGCCTTGGCAATAGCAGGCTGCCTCAGCAATGGCGGACTACCTCCTTATTGGTGGAGTGCCCTGGTAATGGTGGATGCCCCTCCCCCACATATCTGGACCGTCCCGGGTTCAGCTGTGCTTGCTATGAAACTCTCAATCCAGAGAGTTTCTGATTGCTGTTCTTTTGTGGGGTTGGGACCAGCATAGCCTGATCGCCTGGCTCCCTGCTTCAGAGCCTTTTTTTTTTTTTTTTTTCCTTTCTTTATCCCAGGTGTTCCAGTCGCCTGCAGAATCTGTTTCCCGTGCGAGGACCTACTGCGCCTGCTTAAACAGTGGCGCTGAGATTCGTGGTGCTTTTTTTGCTCAGGAATCTCCTGGCCTGGCTCCCTGTTCAGTCCCCTCTTTAATCAGATGAATATGCGGCTTCCCGGGGCTCCAATTGCCAGCCAAAAGAGCACCCGTACCAGTGTATTTTGTATAGAGAACCGCCGGCTGCGCCGCCGACAAAGCAGCCACGAGGTGCAAAGCAGCCCCGCCGACGGAAAGAACCGCGCAGGCCAAAACAGCCTAGTTGGTGACTCGTGGGTCTCCTATGCTTGGGAATCTCCTGGTCCGTGGGCTATAAAAATGCGGCGTCCACTCACCCTCTGCAGTTTCACTGGGAGCTGCAACTCCGAGCTGTACCTAAACAGCCATCTTGGATTGAACCCAGGAAATATTTCTATAGCATACAACACCTCGCTATTGAAAAATATCCTGGGGCTCAGTAGGCAATTAATTTATCTTAGCCACTTTTATTTCCTTCAAAATAGGCATTCGGTTTTAGATTAAAATTTTTAAAATGTCATAGTGTTTTTAGAGACACATTAAAATGTCTTCTAAACCTCAAGTTATTAAAAAACGTTTTCATATTGTTAGAACTTAGTTCCTTCTAATTTGATTGATACCATATATAAAAAATCATTTGGCCCATTGGCCATATCATTATAGTATTTGCTACAGTTATTTTAAATTATATAATATAAATTTAAAAATCTGTAGAATAAAATCCCTAACAATTGATTATTTTGAAATGGCACAAAACAATATCCCACCGTGTTTTAACCATGTAAGAAATATTTTCAGTTTCCTTAAATCAGCTTGCTGTGAAATATCTGAGTTACTTTAAATAACATGAATGCAATCCAGCACACAAATATTACTGTTGTCCCTGGAAACTGCAGTGCTAATTCCCTGCGCAGTTCACATAAAATGTATCTCCCAGTGTCCAGTTTGGTTTTATCTGATGAAGTGAAGCAGAGAAAATAGACTATGTAAGTATTAGCATTGCTTGTTTGCTGGCAAAAACAAGATTTTTAGCTTGCTGAATTATTTAGAATTGTTTGGGGTGTGTGTGCGTGTGTGTGTGTGTGTGTGTGTGTGTGTGTGTGTGTGTATGTATACGTATTTCCTCCTTTTCCCATCCTTCTTTCGTGAATACAAGAGAAATGCAGGCTGATTCTGGCATGACAATACAGTTATTTCATCTGAAATTTTAGTGATACAATACCAAATCAACTCTGTTAAATGGTTTTGTATGACAAGACTAATAGTAACTGTTTTTGTAAAGTGAAAAATCATTGTGCCCTTTTGCAGCAGAGATGAAAATTGCAGAGTGCTGCCAGCATTTTTCCTTCTCTCTCTAACAAGCCACACATAAACGAAGTAATATCGCAGATGTTGTTGATTCAGTTTCCCTTGCCTTACCTAGGAAAATCACAAAGGCTTTATTTCTATTCTCATTGGAATGCAAAAAACATTATCAAACAGTACTAAGTGGTGAGATATCATTGTTCCACTTATTCAGATCAGTAGAGTCTTGGACCTATATGCCACTATAATGAGTGCAAATTAATGTGTAGGATGTAATTTATGACTAAGTGTGGTCTCCTTTCTTCCTGGCAGATTGTGACAAACTATTTCTTAATACTGCTAGAACATCTGGTTTCAATTCCTTTTTTTTGTGCTACCTGATTCATTCATTTACTCCATAGGTAATGAACTTTAAGTAACTAAATCTAAAAAAAAAAAAAAAAAAAATCAACTGAATAGTGACATCAATGTGAATCATGAATCACATGTTATACCCACAGTGGCTACAGAGTCAGCGTTTTTCTTTTACACACTGGAATAAGTAAATAATTATAACAGCCAAAGAAAACATCTATTTTACTACAACATTTTGTAGGGGAGGGTATAAATTCGACGCTTTTTTTTTTTTTTGGCTAAAATTCATCAACCTCTATGTCTCAAATTTGGAGAAAATGTCAGTATATTTCAGTGTCAGTTACTTAATCTATTGAACAACTAAACAGACTGAAGTGGTAACAAAAATAAGTAAATATTTTTATAGGGAGAATAAAAATAGTTGAAAACTAATATTTTTAAGATGATGGGATTTAAGAGAACAGATTGAAATCAAACCTAGAGGAGGAAATTGGGGGTGTAAGAGTATCTTAGTCAGCTCAGGCTGCAATAAGAAAGAGCCATAGACTGCAAACTTTAAAGAACAGACATTTATTTCTCACTGTTCTGGAGGCTGAGAAGTCTAAGCAAGGTGCCCACAAGCTTGATTCTTTGCTTCATTGAGTTTGACTATTTTAGATATCTTATGGAAGTAGAATCATGTATTTTTCCTTCTGTGAAAGGCTTATTTCTCTTAAAATAATGTCCTTAAGGTTCATCCATGTTGTTATGTATTGTGGGATATTTTTCTTTCATTATGGCTAAATAATATTGCCTTGTGTGTGTATTCCTCATTTTAAAAAAGGCATTCTTTTATGTGTGAATATTTAGGTTATTTCTACATCTTGACTATTGTGAATAGGATTGCAATTAATAAGAGATTCCTAGTATCTTTCCAAGACCTTAATTTCAATCCTTTGGAATAAGTACCCAGAAATGGGATTACTGGATCATATGGGAGATCTATTTTTAATTTTCTGAGGAAACTCCGTCATGGTTAGGGGCCACACCATTTTGCACTCCCAACAGTATATAAGAGTTGCAGTTTCTCCACATCCTCACCAACATATGTCTTTTATTTTTTTTTCAAAGAATAGCCATTGTAACATGTGTGAGATGATATTTCATTGTTGCTTTGTGTTTCTGTAATGATTACTGATTTAAACTTCTTTTCATATGAAAATGGCCTATTGGCCATTTGTATATGTTCTTTAGAATTAGATACTCTGGTGTGATCAGATTTTCTTTATAATGGTAAAAAAAAATTGCAGCAGATGTAATGTAGAAGCAGATAGGGGATTCCATTTGTCTTTTATTAAGCCACATGTTAAAGAGATTTGCAAACATGTAAAATAGTGTCATTCTTTCACTGAGCGTATTACTTTGAAAAACAGTTTGTTTTTTACAAATATATGCTCTTTATCTTAATAGGTAATGAGGTTATGGATGCTATTTTAAAATTATTACCAGATAAACTCACATAAGGAAAAGCTTTATAGAGTTCTTAATATTTGAGAGTGTAAAGGAGTCCTGAGACAGCAATGGGCTAAGCCCTGCTGCTTTAGAATGTTTTTGGTCACAAAATCCAACCATAACTCACTTAAACAAGAAACCACTATATTGGCCACTGTAACCCAAAAGTCAGAGGTACTTCAAGTGTTGTTTGTGCAGAATTCTGTTCCCTGTAATTCCGTCAGCTCTTTGTCTCCATAGTTTTGAATGTCTTCAGACTCTTTCTTTTCTCTTGACATCAAAATTGCTGAAGAAGTTCAAGCACTCATAGTATAGGAAAGTTTGTGTTCCACAATTTCCACTAATTTGTCTGAAATTCACTTCGATTGGATAGGTTTAAGTCACATGCCTTCCCTTGTTCAATCCTTTGGTCTTAAAAGTAACATATGCTGACAGGATTTTCTGTTTTTGTTTAAATTTTTAGTTCTGTATTCCTAACCAGGTGGTAAAGGTAACGTTTCCCTGAAACCGTAGGAATCTTCTGTGGGAAAGACAGAATAATGCTAGGAAGGCAGCGAAAGAATCTATTGTGCTGTGTTAACGAGTTTATACTAAATGGAGAAATAAAGTTTTAGATATTTAAGCAGAAATGTTATCAGTTAACCTATAATTTCCTCACTTTATTTAGGCTGCTATATGGAGAATGGGAGTTTGGGAACAAGCATGAAAGCAGAGAGGTCAGCGAAGAAGCTGTTGCTGTAATCCAGAATGTAGGTAATGGTATCTTGAGTTAGGGATTATCAATAGCGATGGAGTCAAAAGGATTAATTCTATGTTTGGAGATTTTACTAACAAATGCATGGATCCTTTGGATTTCAGGATGAGGAAAAGAGCAAAATAATGTTTAGCTTTTGAGCTTAAGTTGAAGTGAGCACTGGATGATACTCAAAATGGGTGAGAATCAGGAAAAAATTATTGGAGAGAACAAACATTCTTTTCTTCTAACAAATTCATATTTAGATGTTATTTTAATGGTAACATCAAACAGCTATTTGGCTATAAGAGTTAATTTTTAACCTTGCCATCAAAGTGTCTTACTGAAGTTCATAGTATACACATAAAATTTACAATTGAATGTCATATTGACAAAATGGGATAAGCATACCTAATGGCCAGTTGATATTGTATCTACTATTTCTTGTTTTCAAAGTCTTTTAAACATCTTTATCTCGATATGAAAACATATTTCCTCAAGCCTTCTAGTCTACCTGTTTCACATAAGTATTCACTAAACATACAGTGAGCATCAATTACGTGTCATACATCTCTCATTCATTAGTATCTAATTTTGGAACTTGATGATAATTCGTATTCCTGGAAAATGTGTGTATTTCTTTGAAGTAAGTTAAAAAAGAAATAGAATAGTAAAAATAATAAAAGTACTTATTATTCTCTTTATTATATTACAACTACACTTGTTTGCCTAGCACTGGTCAGACACTGGGCCAAGAGCTGAGTAGATTGTAGGGAATAAATGAATCTTATAGGGTTGGTGTGTCAGGTATGGTGACTTACAACTTTAAAACTAGGATCAAGCAGATATTTAGAAGATATGTGATGCAAGAAAGAATAAGAGGTAGATTTGAAAACACTATTCGTTAGAGCTAACCAAAACTTTTAAAAGTCAACTAGAATTGGTGTGATCTGTTTATATATTATGTCAATGCTTTTACCCCCCATCATGATGACATCTAGCTCAGGGATTCTCAGCCTGAGTACCATGGACATTTTGGAATAAATATGTCTTTGTTGTGGGAGCCTATCATGTGTTCTAGGATGTTTAGCAGCATTGTTGGCCTCTGCCCACTATATACCAGTGGCAGTTTCTCAGTTGTTGCAACCTGAATGTCTCTGTCAGTTAATAAATGCCTTGTGGGGGAACTCCTGCCCTAATCCAGGCTTCTTGTCAAGACCACGTCTACATTTCTAGTAACTACCTTCTAGGTAATTCTATATATATGTCCTAGCATTTTCTCTAAAGAAAAAATGTAAATCAAAATTGTTAATATTCTCCCTGATATCATAAGAGTCAGAAGATAACTTGACAAATATATTGTCATTAGAATTATCTGAAGATAAATTCTTAAAGCCTGGAAAAGTGTATGATTTACATAAGATTACAAGACGGATTTGGAGACAGAGTTAGTAAAATGGATGATTCTTGGATTCTAGTTTTGTGTTCTTTCCACTAGACCTGTGATTTAATACATGCCCATTTCTGATGACAGCACTATGAATTGCTTAGTCTCTAAGAATTAAAATGTCTCATTGTATTTATTTTTATGTTTCTTATGTTTTCTAATGCCTGTTCAGACCTTTACCACCTGCCATCAAAATAGTCACAAAATCTTATAAGTGATTCTAAAAACTCTTTAGAGCATTGGTCATTCTAAAAATCTTAATTTCCATTCCTTTTAACAACTCTTTACCCTACTCTTGCCTAAATTCTAGGTTTCGATCCACTGGTTACTTCATGTTGGTACATGTTTATTATGCTATACATTGTTCTGTCTTTTCTCCCTCTTCCTCAAATTATGTAGTAAAACCACCAGTAGATGAATCCTAAAACACAACTGCAATCATATCCCTCCTCTATTCCTAAATCTTAAATGATTTCTCCAATTCTAAAAAATACATTTTTGGTTATGTCTTATGCTCCTTAAATACAATTGTTTTTCAGTTTTAAGAACCTCCATAATTTATTTCCAGGAAAGTCATTTCTTATCTTTAAAGGCTTTTATTCCTAAGCAAATCACCGGTTATCATAAAGACTTTTATTCTACCTGAATTGTTCTGCTAACCCTACAGAGACTTGAAGACTCTGTCATAAAGATTTTTCTGCATTGTTCCTTGTGTCAGAATAGCTAATTTCCTTTCTCCACCTAAACCCCATCCTTATTTCAAGCATCAAAACCTTTCTTAGTTATAAAGCTAGCCTATTCCAGCCCACAATAATATCTCTCTCTTCTGAGGCATCAACATGTGTATTTTCATTTGTTATTTTCAATTAACAATATACTATTTATTATACAATATATCTTGCAATTATTAAGTCAGCTTCTGTCACCGGGATTTGTGCACCAATGGAAGACGTCAAGCAAAGGCATTATTGAGTTGAAAACCCAGATTCACTTGAATCCCCTATGAAGGTCTATCATGGAAGAGTTTATCCTGTTTCACAACATGGATTTCCATTCTACTTACCAGTGATTTATTTATCCTTTAGTAACACTTGACTGCTCTTGGCATGGGGTGGGGTGAGGGCAGGATATAACTCCTAGAAATGTCTAGTTCTAGGCTCCTTTGGATGATGTATCTTTAGCAGCGCAATGGTAACCTCCCAGAGATTATAGGAGCCAGGTGATAGAAACAATTTCAAAAAAAGCTGAAAGACAGGCATAAAGATTGTAAAAGGGATTCAGAGAGAATCTGAACAAATCAGCAACAGTGTTTATCGTTAACATGTCCTCAAATAATTGCCATGCTCTTAACCAATTTTTTCTATTTCTTCTTCTTTTTTTTTTTATTTAATAAATTGAAGGATTTTGGACAACAGGGTTGGTTTACATTCCATACATTTTGGTACCTGCTCCGTAGCAATAGTTATTGCTTGGTGAACGTTTGTTAACTGATATTTTAAATTGATTAGCACATGTCTTTTACATGAGTCCATGCTTAGGTTATAGGTTAGGTTGTATGATGTTTAAATTATTACAGTGTTACATAAAATGGGGAACACTTATTTGCTCATTTGGGTTTCATATTCTCACTTTTTAAGCAGTAGCCTGGGCTTCTTTAGGAAAATAATTACCAAGATTTTCAAGTTACCATACTATATCATATTTTTCCTTTATGTGTGTTTTTTAATACTGATATTCTGTCTATGCCAGTGTATCTGCCACAAGTCATTGGCAAATGAAAATGTCAGTTTCTTTTTCAGGATATTTCAATTATAGCTCCTTCTAGGCCTTCCCATGGTGAAGACTAAACTTGTGTGCATTGGTTCAATTTTTGTACATGTGTGACACTGTAAACTTTCATTGAATAATTAATTTTTTTTCTTCTGGCCCTTATCACAATAACTATAGCTGTATTAAATTAGATGTTTAGCCAAAAAAGCCTATGGGAAAACCACGTGTGAGTGAATACCTATTTTTTACTGCAAGTCCATCTTTATCAAAACATGATTAATATGTCTAAATTTCCTTCCTGAAGAAAAGATATTCTGATAAACACAAGTAAGTTGTCTAGAAGGTTAAATTTTTAAAAGGTGATTCTTTTTTATCTAATGACACTACCAAGCAAATACTATTATTAATCAAATTTGTTTCCTTAAGGTGCAATCATGTAAATTATGTGATGTTTTCAGCATGAGCTTGAATATGTTATTTTACAACTCACTGGAAATCATCTACTTATTAGAATAACCTTAAGAATTATTTTTAAAAAACAAAATATCAATTTCCTGTAAAATCTATACAATCCATAATATTTCATTATATATAAGTAATGTTGCATTATATTTATCTCACCTTATTAGGAATTCCTTTGAACCATTAGAACTGTGTGATAACAAGTATGTTAATCTTTTCAGTGTCAGCTGTAGGCCCATAATGGTAGTTTGCATTATTTCTGAGTATAATCATTTTATATACAATATATATACATATATGTGTGTATAAAATATATGCATATTATATTGTATATATACTCAACTTTTTTTGAAAATTCATATTGAAGAAATTATTAATAAAAATGTAATTGAGGTACTGAAAGAGAAATACAGAGGACCAACTAGGTTGAAAATCAAGGTTTATAGAGAGTAATTGATTTAGGATTATATTTGAGAGAAAATAAAGACATTGCCTAAGTGTTGCCAGAAATCTCCAGACACTTGACTGCGTAAGGGTATGCCATGCACAACCATAATCAGTGGTGGTCTCATTTATTCTCCCAGAGTTATTAAATTATGTTTCTACTCAAACCCTAGGCTCAATGGTACATATTACTTTTACTTGTTTAATTTCTTTATTCCCTTTTCTCTCCTTTCAACTTCTTCTGTTTTGAGTAAAATCTGCTTCTTTCATTACACTCTCCAACCTAAACTGCCCTTATTATAAGACAGAGGAGGAGAAAAAAAAATCACTGCACAAGCAGTCAACCAAACCGGAGCCTGGAGAATTAATCCCATCATTCATTGGCCTTATTTCTTGAACTGCAAAATGATGAAAATAATACCTGCTATGATTAACTCATGATGATTTATAATTTTTAAGTGAGATTACATATGTGAAAGCAATTTGAAAAGAGCAAAGCTTTATTAGATTGAGCTGACTCAAATACATCTTCAGGAATTAATGTGTGTCCACATCTAAAAAGAATTCATTTTCCTCCTCTGGGCTACAAAAGCCTTTAATTTATATCTAAGTTATACAAGCTATTATATAGGATTCAAATAATCTCTTGCAATAGATGGGAAGCCCTTTGAAGTTAGTATCTTTTTTTCTTTTTTTTTTTTTTTTGAGGCAAGGTCTTGCTCTGTTGCCCAGGCTGGAGTATACTGGTGGGATCTCTGCTCACTGCAACCTGTACCTCTCAGAATCAAACGATTCTCATGCCTTAGTCCCCTGAGTAGCTGGAACCACAGACATGCATCACCACATCTGGCTAATTTTTG